AGCAATTTTCTTCTGATTGTACGATGAGCCTTGCATGCACAGCATAGTGTAGAATGGGGTTTGACCACTCCGGCCCTCCAGCTTTTGAGGAACTACAAGTCCAATGAGCCATTGCAAGACTGACAGTTACGGGTATGACTCCCAAAGGCAGAGGCATGCTTGGATTTATACTTTAAGCACAGCTGGAGGGCCGGAGTTGCCCACCCCTGGTGTAGAATGTCAGCATGCCTTGGCAGCCAGGTAATTCTCGTGCGCACCTGCATGAGTTACTTCATTCCAGGGCTGAAGACTCCAAACCCTGAGGAAAACCGTTCGAAGGTGTAAGTGACTGCGCGATAAGAGACAGCCGAGATGTTGCATCCCTGGAGGGGGCACTTTGGAAGTCATAGTGTATCTATAGACAAGCCTTTCTTTTTGTAGTGGGAAAGGTTTAGAACTTCTGTCAGCTTTTCCTAATGTCAAAGCCTCCGTTGGAGAAATCCTTTACTTCCTGTCTAGTAAAAAGGTTGTTCCCAGAACAGGAAGTGAGAGGAAATCTTTCTAAAAGCAACACAGACAGAAGTGAAATGTTTCTTTAAGGCAAAAGGAATGCTAGAACATCTGTCAGATTTCTAATTTTCCTGTTTCCGTGTTGCAGATTTTCCCCCACTTCCTGTTTGGTAAAGGTTGTCCCCAAAAAAGAAAGTAAGGGGTAATATCTCTAATGGAGCCCTGGAGAGCAGTAAAACCTAACAGGGGTTATAACATTTCCCTATTCTATATGAAACATGTTTTAGATATAGATACATTTTAGGTGTGCCATATGCAAATATTTTGTGCATACTTAGAGGAGAACTATGAGGTTAGTGCTTTTCACTCACCTCATAGTTCTAGCCGACCTGTGACAATGAAACTGTCACAGGTCGGCTCAGTAGATCGGGAAGTGATCGAACACATACCGGCGTTCGCTCACTTCTCGATCTTGTCACGGCTCTCTGCCGTGACAGGGGAGGGACTGGATTCTCCGATCCTCCAGCGCTGGCTGGCGGAACGGACGGGGGAGGGGGCGGGTACAGCTGACTCTGGCTCTAGATAGGCAGAGCCAGCTGTCACTCACGCAGCTGGGCGGATCCAGACATAATTTTCGGGATCCGCTTCAGCTGCGGCGTCTCAGTATACCGCGAGCTACAGCCCAGGGTGACATTACTGTCGAGATCAACCCAGCTGCGTGATTGACAGCTGGCTCTGCCTATCTGGAGGCAGAGCCAGCTGTACCCTCCCCCGTCTGTTCCGCCAGTCAGAGCTGGAGGATCGGACAGGGAAGGGGGGGAATCCCTGCAGGTAGCCGTGGGTGACAGTCACGGCTCTCTGCAGGGACAGGATCGAGAAGTGAGCGAGCAACGGTATGTGTTCGCTCACTTCCCGATCTATTGAGCCGACGTGTGACAGTTTCATTGTCACACGTCGGCTCGAACTATTAGGCTGAGTGATTTTCATTTACCTCATAGTTCTCCTTTAAACAATATGTCAAGAGCCCCTGCCATCCAGACGTTCCACTTTAAAGTATTTCTAAACTATTTTTTAGTGCCTGATTGGGAAGATTTCACTTCCTGTCCTGTGCACACAAGGCGAGGGAATCCTCATGCTTGTCTAAGGGCCGGTCCACACCTAAGCAGTGCACTATACTGTGCATTTAGTGCATGTTGTTGTTGCACAGCGCACCTAGCGTGAGGTACCTCAAACTAGGTGCGTTGCATTGCTGTTCATTTTCACTAGTTTTTCCCACTGCAACGCACAGTATTGCGTAGGGTTGCACAGATACTTTTCGAGTACCAGTGCAGATACTTGGCATTTTCATGAGAACTACCAAATTGCGGTACTGCGAGCTGTGCTGAAGCTTACTGGCACCAGGTGGTGCGTTGATGTACCATTCAAATAAATGGCACACATGACACTGCACAATATCGTGCATGTAGCACAACACTTATGGTGTGGACCAGCCCTTAATCTTGGTTGTCAGTGGAAGAAGTGTCCCCGATGGAAGCTTTACCCGCTTTTCTAGATCTGGTGAGAATTCAAAATCCTACCAGTCTGTCTCAGTGAGGATGGTCACCAAATCAAACAAAGAGGGTAAATCTCCCTAGCGAGGACACAGATAACAATAAAAGGGTTAGAACCTTTCCACACTTTGTTCAACAAAAAGGGGTTTGATTTTAGATACACTTTCATTTTAAGCTGGCCATATACTATATGGCTTCATTCACATGACAAACGGCCGGCACGTACAGCTCCGTGCTTGGTGCACGGCTGTATCGGGCAGCTCCCGGGAAGGACATGTGCTGTGTGTGATTAGTACACAGCCCCTGTCCTTCTCTATGGGACAATGTGGCCGTACGCCACCCTACGCTCACCCCAACTGCAGGTCTGTATGGGTGTGGGTTTACCGATCCATCCTGTCAACATACGAGTACGGACGTGCAGGGCGGGTGAGCATAGGGCGGCGTACGGCCGTGTAGTCCCATAGAGAAGGATAGGGGCTGCGTACTAGCTCGGAGCTGTACCTGCCGGCCGTTTCTCGTGTGAATGAGCCCTATGTGTGACTTTTGTCAAGAGAGCCAGGTGGAAAATTGCCAGCCCAACAGTGATTGTAGCCAATCAGATACAGTCACTGTTTGAGTATTCTGACATCGGTAGTTGTTGGCTGTGAGAGTACAATATCTGACAGGGGGATTCCTCTATTCATGCTGTTTAATGTGGTTGAGAGAATCGAGTGATTTTGCTCAAAGTGAAACTCCACCATTATCCTAAAACTTACAACAAAAACACAGTTAGACATGTTTAGTAATGGCAATCTACAAACATATACTGATAGATCATTGGCAGCTTTTTATTTTTTGTACACCTTATTTATACTTTCTTCCCCATTCTTCTCACAGTGAACATTTTCACTAAGGGCAGGTTAATCCATTTACTTCATGGAACTCTGGGTCTGTCTCCTAGAACATGTGACTGCGCACATCATCTCAGGGGGAAAAACCCTTTCCCTGTGATCCTGCTAGATGTTGAAGTTTACAGATGAGATTTCCCTGGAAGACACTGGTGATGTAGCCTTCCCAGAATGCATCTGTGAGGCCAGAGCTATATTACCAGTACCTCAATGGTTCTCAACCTGTAAAACCTCAGGACCCACATTTGTCCTTCATCATTAAGACGTGACCCAAGTCGCACCACATTGGAACGTACGACATTGCGGTACCGCATATTCGGTGCAAGAGATCAAACTGTGGATGGTAGTTTTTGTTTGGTGTGCCATTCAAATGAATGGCAACGCAATGCACCTCCCACACCAAAATGAACAGTAGGTGCGATTGCGTGGTAGTTTGCGATGAAAACACTGACACACACAACCACAAACACATTCTCACATACACATGCCCAAAAAAATGTAGGGGTTCAGTGTGGACTGCTGTGCTGTGGCGAAGCTCCATCCATCCATACATGCATTGCTTGTACAGCTCCCTTGCACTCCCTGTAGAGGTGCTGGGAGCTAGAATGTGATGTCACCCAGGTCACTCGAGGGAGCTGTAAGCAATGGACGTATGGATGGAGCTCCCTTGCACCCATACCCCCAGCCCACCCCACCTTAAGGCCCCATTCACACTGAGCTATTCGTAAATCGCGCGTTTGTCGCGCGATTTGCATTTTGCGCGATATCGCCCAAATGCTTGCATTGAAAAGACTAGAATCGCGGCAAAATCCGCTCCAAAAAGGGTCCTGCTGTAGCGACGCACGACCCGCGACAGACAGAGCCCCATTGAGGCCCCATTCGCAAATCGAGCGTTTGTCGCACGATTTGCATTTTGCGCGATATCGCACGTTTGTCGCGCGATATCGCGCAAATGCTTGCTAGTTTTCGGCAAAATCCGCTCCAAAAAGGGTCCTGCTGTTGCCTAAGCTGACACTCAGTGCCAGGAAGCACATTTTGAATGGATGCGCAGCACGAGAACTGACAGTGCTGTGCTCACCTAGTGCAGTGGAAGGCATGCGGCAACCCACTGAACATGTGGCGCGACCCACTTTTGGGTCACGTCCCACCAGTTGAGAACCACGGCTCTATATCTACAGCAAACTCTATATCTACAGCAAACATCTACAGCAACAAAACATCTACAGTCCCTCTTTCAAAGTCTGATTGCAGTAAACTGAAATCCGGTTGGTTGCTATGAGTCGCTGCACTTTACGTTTGTGCCGGCTAATTAAATAATGTACCAGTGTGTTTCAAATAAAAATATTTTAGGATCTTTTCATTGGATCTCCTAGCATTTTTCTGTACCTATTATTGTACTCAAATAACCTTGTTGCTGATTGTAAAAGAATGTTTTATTTTCTACACCAGGAGATAAAATAGTTTATTTCAAAGGGATCAGAGCACTGTCAGTTGTTTCTGCGCAAGGGAGAATTTATGAGTTGTCTCTAAGGTGGCAATTTAAGAAATTAATGTATCTGTGTGTGCCTGCATGTTTTTTGTTTTATTTTCATTTGGCCAAATGCTGAATAAATAAACCTACAATCAGGCATTGATAGGCTCCCCACACTGATGTCGGAGAAGTGTCTGGAGCTACTTACTCTGGGAGGAATTACCATTTAAATTCAAGTTTTTATTGAATTAATTGAAAATACCATCTACATGTCTCCATGCTTGTTTTTTTACAGCTTAATGATACTCTTGCAGATATTGTTCTCTTTAACTATAGATTTTACTTTAGTTTCTACTAAAGGGTGTATTTCCTGGATGATTCAGGTTTTCATGTTATCCCTGAATTAATCTTGCTGCTTTTCTGAAGGTATTTCCTGCATGTTGATGGATAAAGTTGAACTCCAGACAATCTGCACGCAGGTGAAATACACATATGGGAGCTATTTTGCTTGCTAAAGGATTGTTAGCATGTAGGAGTCTGTCCTTGGACCAGACTGGTGTGGTGGAACCTCAAGGGAGGAGTCTACAATAAGCTCTGTGGAGGATGGCTCCTCCAGTGTGTCAGTCGAAGTATGTTGTGTTTGATCTAAGTGTACGTTTCTGTTTGGGTGCTATGACAGGTAACCTTGCCAAGACGTTTTATTCAATATGTGCTCTTATTGCCATTCTGCAGCAGGATATACGATGTTGCCTGGCCGGTGTCACTCTGAGGAAAGGTGCCGAATGTAGAACCTGTGCAGGGAGGTCACTGGCCAAAGAAACCAGCCATCTAATATTTATCAGCTGGTGCCATTTCTACTTGTTAAGGATGTCAAGCTGTATATTAAGAAGAGGGCAAAGGTAAGTATGCTTTATATGTGTGCACTGGGCATTGCGTACATTTTTTGAAACAGAAACATATCAGGGTTGCCTGAGCAATCCGATTCCAGACGTCATTCTTGCTTTGAAGGTAGAAAAATGTCAGATTGGACCTTATTCTATGCTAAGGACACAAACACTTTCCATACCCTGGGTTGAATCTGCCATTTACTACGCACTGTAGAGGAGGAAACCGTTTCTGCGTAAGGCCCTATTCACACTGGCATTTACAAATATGTGTTAGTTTATGTTTAGATGACATTTCTTAACTCGTATGGCTGCATATAAAGAATTTTAATGGTATCATTCAAACTGGGTGTTTACCTATGTCGAGGTGCAGTAACTCTAAATGCGGCTAATAAATAAGTGCGTGTAAACACCTCTAAACCCTCAAAGCCCTCATTCACACTAGAAACGTCTGGCACGTACGGCTCCGTGCTGCGTGCACGGCCGTATCGCTCAGCTCCCGGGAAGGACAGGTGCTGCGTGCCATTAATAAGTAGCGCCCGTCCTTCTCTATGGGACTACGCGGCCGTACGCCACCCTACAATCACCCGCCCTGCACGTCCATGAGGGTGTCCGTACTCGTATGCGAACAGAATGGATCCTGTCTGCGTCTGAGCCAGGAAACACGCACCCGTGCGGAGCTGCACTTGGGAGCGTAGGGGGGCGCTTGGCCATGTAGTCTCATAGAAAAGGACGGGGCCTGTGTACTAATCACACGCAGCACCTGTCCTTCCCTGGAGCTGAGCGATACGGCCGTGCACGGAGCTGTACGTGCCGACCATTTCTAGTGTGAATGTGGGTAAAAAGTCAGGTAGATCTAAATGTTGGAGAAAGTATTCTGAGAAGCATAATGTTTGTTTAAAATTCCAAGATAATTTCACCTGCACTTAAATAATCTAAATGCAGGAGGTTAATGTGAATTTGTTAACTGAGTCTGCGTGGGTGTGTTATAGGGCCACAACCTGGGAGCTGACCTGCTGGGCAACTTCTTCACCATTAGTAGCTCTGGAGAAGACCAGGCGCTCCATAGATTCTGCGCCTCTTTCACACCCACATCTAACATGCAGTCATCCCATTCTTGCGCTCTCTGAGTCACTCTAGAGTCCCAAGTGTCCTTACGGTCCCTGTGCTCAGTCAGACCCAGACTGCTCTGCAAACCCTGGAACTAGCATCTCCAGTGCCCTATGGTTCCCATACTGTGACAGTAGCCTAAGACTTGTATGAGAAAAGCACAAATAGTCAAAAACATTCACATAGTCACATGAATAACATTTCTGTGTGGCACACAAAACTGAATGCTTGGAGAAAAAAATGTTATTTATAAAATGCAAGGCGTTCTGTGAATGAAGGGGGGAAGGAGGGACAGGTATGCGACATGATCTCTCCTCAATTTACAGAACTCCTTATATTCTTTAAAAAATAAATCAAGCCTTTTTGTAAATGGGCGAGGGGGGCGGAGGGGTGAAGGTGTGAATATAACGCTTCACTGCTGTAGGCACTGCTCTCCTGTCCACAGCAACCAGAGATCCAGGGCAGTGTGTAGATTACAAGGTAGCAAGGTATGATTTTTATACTAAGCACCAGCCATGCACACACAGAACACATATTATTAAAGTTATCTTACTTAGCTAGTGCAGTATCTTAAATAAATGTTTTTCCCCAGTTCAGCTTTAATTGCTTGGTTTGCAGAATTCAGACAAGTCCAATATGCCACAACAGCATGAGAGCAAATTGAAGGGAAAATGTGCAGCAGCAGCTAAGTAAAATATATTAAAATATCCATACATTTGTTATGCTGGCCACGTAAGCTGTGATATTATAGGGAATACTGAGCTGATAACTGAGCACATTTGATCTCCAAATAACAGACGCCCAATACCTAACATAAAAGATCAGTAAACTTAAAAGGTGTTACATTATGTATCTGAGCTGTATTATTCACTGATACTATTATATATTTAGATTTTCCTGAATAGAAAGACTGATGCTGTATAACTTTTTTTATTATGGATTATTTATTATGGATTATTATTTATTAAAACTTGTCTTTTTATTTTTGGGCAGAGTAAGGAATGGTTGAAAATCCACTTTCTGTCCCAGAGATGCAACAGGAAATGAGAGCATATCTCTCCAAAGTGAGTGATATTGCCTCCTAGACAGCAGTCAATGGGTCAAGTGTCCTCACTAAAAGATTCCCCCTCTAGTAGGGCTCATTAACACAGGCGTGATTTAGGATCCTGAAGGTCTACTTTAATATCTACTTTAAAAGAGAACCATGGTCCAACCGTTTTTTCCCATAGTTCTCTTTAGGGTCACAGAAGGACATATACTAATGTCCTCCTGTGACCCAAAACACAGCTATTGCCAGCTATATGCTGACAGCGCAGAGCTGTGCTGCAGCCAGGACAATATTGTCGGGATCCACTCCGCTACCTCATTGACAGCTGGCTCTGCCTCTCTAGAGGCAGAGCCGGCTGTGGCCGCCCCTATCCCTGCCTGTCCCTCCAGTTAGTGCTGGAGGGTCGAAGAGGGGAGGGGGGGAATACCTGTGGGGAGCCGTGATTGAAGTCACCACTCTCTGCAAGGAGATCATCGGGAACTGAGTGATCGGTGGTTCCTGAGCAATAGAGTCAAGGTGTGACAGCTGCAGTGTCACACGTCGGCTCTTATTATGGGGATGAGTGTATTTCACTCTCCTCATAATTCTCCTTTAATATCATTGAAATGCCTTGTAAAGGATCTAAATATTGTATATCTCTTTATGCGATTAGTTTGCTGGCCTATTAAATGTAAAAAGAAAAAGGTAACGCCATGTGAAAGAGTTGAACATAACATTCACAAATATATGTATGCAAAAATAATGACTCCTGTGCAAAACTTGCTGTGCAGACTTTGCATTACCAACCATGTCAGTCACTATGGAGTTCTCCTTGTATAGATTATTGGACAGAAAATGAGTTTTGTGTTTGAAATATTGCTCTGGCCCCCACCATTTCATTTAAAAGAAAACCTCAGATGTGAGAAGTATAGAGGCTGCCACTGCTGAACTCTTTTTTCAGAAATGCTAGTTCCTTTGGCTTAAATCCATTCTTAGGGGGTTGATTTACTAAGCTGTTCACTTTGCAAGGGAATTTTAACTTAACTTAGTGAATGAGGTGAATCTCTGCAGACTTCCATCATCTAAATGTGTGCAAGCAAAAATACTGTTTTTTTTTTAATTTTCCTTTCCTGTGATTGGATATTATTTGCAAAGTGAATTTTCACCACATTCACTAAGCTAAGGGAAAATTCACTAAGCACACTGGAAATCCAGGAAGTTGTTGGAAGTGATGGGCAGATGGAAAGCAGCACCCACTACATAAAAGGGATTTTGTTTTCAAGTAAGCTTTGATTATAGTATGTATTTCTATTACAATTGTGATTTTATAACAGGATAGTATATGCTGGGACTTTACAACTCCTTTATTATTTGTTTCTGGTCAGTAAAAAGTAGGGATGCACCAATACCGGTTTTTCAATATCGAATATGCGTATCGATATTTTGCTTTCAGTACTTGTCGATACCGAGTACCAATACTGGTGCTTCTGCTGGCATGGAGCCGGCTTCCTGGGACCGACTTCCTGATTACCCGGAAAGCCGGCTCCATGTTGTTTGGCCAGCTCAATTGTGATTGGCCAGGAAACCAGATTCCCAGCCAATCAGCATCGAGCCGGCTTCTCAGGCAATCAGGAAGCCGGGTGGCGAAAAATGACCTGCCTCCCGGATTCTTGATTGGCCGGCTCCATGCTGATTGGCTGGAAGGCCGGCCCGATGCTGATTGATTCCCAACCAATCAGCATCGAGCCAGCTTCCTGGCCAATCAGGAAGCTGGGAAGCGGGACATTACTCGCCACCCAACTTCCTGATTGCCCTAGAAGCTGGCTTCAAGTTCCCCTACGTCACTGCTGGTCAAAGGAAATCTTCCTCTGACTGGAATTTCTGGTATCGGGGGTAAGTACAAGTACTCACCAAATACTCGGTATCGGCACCGATACTAGTATACTATCTGATCTGATTTTCCCGGAGTTCTTCTATAATTGTCGTTAAGACCCAGACCGAGAACCTCCCAACTTTCTGAGATGATAAATAGGGAAACCTTCCAGCACAATGCATTTAGATAATGGACACAGCCCTGACATGCCCCTGGTTATGCTGACCATTAAGAATTTATATGCCAAAAATGATTGCTTAAAGACAACATTTTTCTTCACCATTACTTTTCCTTTATACTGGATTTTCAAAATAGCAAACAAGATAATTAACATATGAGATAAAGGTTTTAGTGCAGAATAACACTCTTGGTAGTTAAATAGAACATTTTCATAGATCTCTGTACATCAGACCAAAAAGAAGGGCAGCTCAGAAGAAAGGAGGGACAGAGGGATTTGGTTCCAAATGAGCGGCAGCTGGAAGGTATGCAATCATGTAGACCAGGAGGTCTGACCTCACTGTGACTTCGTATGCTGCATTCTTGATCCAGGTCTGTGAGCATTAAAGCCAAAGACAGATAGCCACATTTTATTTTCCGAAGGTGCTCAGCATTGACTGCTTATATATTTCTCTCAGTACGGCTTTCCTTTAAACAGCTTAGTTGGTAACATGCATTAATTCTGCCCTTTAACAGAAATGAATGTATCTGCAACAGACTTGTGATTAGAAGAGAATTGCTGCTGGTCATGGCAGCGCAATATCTATGTTACACAATCTGCAGCGGGTCTGCTATACTCCTTCCAGGTCTTGGCTGGGCAGTTCAGTCTGTAGATGGCAGTGTTCGTTGTAAATAAAATTATCCTCAGCCTTTGTGCTTTCCAGGAACAAAGCTATTAGAAGGTTGTAACTCATTTTATCTGTGCAGTGGTAGAAAAAAAACGTTTTGCAGCATCTAAATGTACGCTTTTTTTTTTCATTTAAATCAGCTTCCAAGAAATCTTTGTAC